TTGTCCCCCCCCCCCCCACACACACACACACAGTTTATAACAGTTAAAGCTAAGAAATATCCATTAATTGGTATTGACCTTAAGATAAAATATGTAAAGATCTAATTTACAGTCTGGAGTTTACATTTTTAAACACTTAAAATTTCATATGTGTCCAATAGGAATTAACCTAGTTGTAAATATACTAATTGATTTGTGTTTGTATAGTGTTCATTTTGAAGATTTTTATTTGTCCAATTTCTCTCTGTTGGGCATGATAGAGTTGTGCCTTGTCATAGTGGTGAAACCCCTCTTTGTTTTAATGTTTTTTTCCAATGACAGATTGATGATTCTTCATCCATTTCACTGGCCCTGCTTTCAAAGGTATTTTAAACTCTGCAACTACTTGATACACTCCACTCTACTGTTTCTAAATTCAGTGTTTTGGATTTGGCAAGCCATAATGTAGCCACAAGTGAGCAATATTTTATGTCAAAAATCTTGTGGTTAGTCCCATCCAGCTTATGTTTATGTTTGCAGTAGTCATTGTAATAATTATTGTGAAATTGTTTGTTTCGCATCTTGGTTATCAATAGTAATATTGATAATTTAGCTTTTTTTATATATGTTGCATATCAATTCGATTTTTTTTATTTTATTTTAAATGTAAGATTTATATTTAGAATTGTTGCTGATATGTGCTCATACATTTGTTAATTGTATAATTGTTGATACTTGTGTGAAAGCCTCGTCCTGTAAAGAGTGAGCTCACTGCCTTTTATCAGTGTGGAGTACTGTTTAAACCTCTTGCCCACATGACACTAATTTCAAGTGTTTTTTTCCCTTTTTTAAACATTGAAAAATGAAGCACTCTGGAATCCTTTTGTAATCTTTTTTTTTGTGGGTTTTTTTTTTTGTTGTTGAATATTTTACTTCTTGCTGGACTTTAAAGACACCAACAGCATTATGTATCATACTTTGGTATGGCTATACTTTATATTGCTAATAGTTAATTGTTTTATTTATTCTTTTTTATGTCAAAATTCTTCACAAAATAGTGTAATTTTCCAATTACAATAATCTGCCAATTTAATTTTCAGGTTGATACCCTGAATGCAGGAGACTATTACATTTAGATTCTGTGTACATGTCTTACGCCATGAATGCATTGCGTTTGTTAGTATGAAATCATCTGTGTATATCTGACACGTGCCCCAAAAAAGACATGTTGCAATAAAATGTATCAAATGGCAAAAGATCTCTTGGACCATGGACAATGCGTGTGTATAATTGGAATTAAGCCATGCATGTGAGTCGGGTTGTCTTTCGATTATGAATTTTATATTTCTGCTCTCTTGCTGAGGTTAATATAAAGTTTGTTGCCCCTTTGTTTCTTTAAGGGCTGAGGTGGTACTGTTAAAGGGATAGTTCACCCAAAAATTAAAATTAGTCTATTATTTACTCACCCTCAAGAAAGTCATATACACCTAGGATGCCTTGAGGGTGAGTAATTCAATTCAATTCAAGTTTATTTGTATAGCGCTTTTCACGATACAAATCGTTGCAAAGCAACTTTAGAGCAAATTAAGTTTCTGCAATATTTAGTGGTAGCTTATCAGTGGTGATTGTCAGTTAATGTACATTATCATGGGCTAATTTCATTTTTGGGTGAACTAACCCTTTAATGTTGTAGTATTTTTAAAGATCTCGCACTGATGGAGGCAAGAAGCTGCTTCTTACAGGACAAGGTTTCAGTAAAATTTTTGGGCTCAATTGAACATTCCAACATTGATTTTATTTGTTAAAACATTATTGCCTGTTAAACAGACAGCCAATCTTGCTGAAACAAATGCATCAGAGGAAGACAAAATAAAAGCAATGATGTCTCAGTCCAACCATGACTATGACCCAATCCAGTAAGTATGCCATTCAAGACATTGACAGTTGTTGTTGTTGTTGTTGTTGTTGTTTAAGTTACTTTTGGCGTCAATTCTAACAAAAATATCTATTCATTAGTTATGCAAAGAAGCTTGTTGGTCCGCCTCCCCCAAACTACACTTGCTTTCGTTGTGGAAAAACTGGACATTATATCCGAAACTGCCCAACCAATGGGGTAATTGGGTTTTCATTACCACAGCTGCATTTACATGACAATTATTTTGAACTTCGTGATGCTTGCTACAACTGTTTGCTTGTGTAAATATTTTTACCATTAGTATGCTCATTTAGTCAGAAGAAATTTAACCTTGAATATCAACCGTGTGTTAGCAGGATCGAAGTTTTGAAGCTCCCCAACGGATAAAGAAAAGCACAGGAATTCCTCGGAGTTTCATGGTGGAGGTTGATGATCCAAACAGAAAGGGAGTCATGTTGACCAACAGTGGAATATATGCCATTCCTACTATTGATGCGTGAGTATACTTGGCCTTGCTGTAAATGATTGTGTTGCAGGATCATATTTTTCAGCTTTTGCAATTTTACAAAATCACAATGGGTAGTGGCCTAAACATGTCAATTCTGCTGATAATATCGTACTTTCTGTGTTTAGTGAGGCCTATGCCATTGGGAAGAAAGAGAAGCCACCATTCTTGCCCCAAACTCAATCTTCATCCTCAGAGGAAGAAGATCCAGTGCCTGACGAGCTGCTCTGTTTGATCTGCAAGGATCTTATGACAGATGCTGTGGTTATCCCCTGCTGTGGAAATAGCTACTGTGATGAGTGTAAGTGTCTGTACAAACAAATATAAAAATTACGTGTTTTTGACCTTTTAAAGCTTACACAGTCTTTTGGCCACAGGTATTCGAACGTGTTTGCTGGAGTCTGATGAACATGTTTGCCCAACCTGCAAACAATCTGATGTATCTCCTGATGCATTGATCGCAAACAAATTCTTGCGCCAAGTGAGAAATCCCTATCTTAATTTTATTTTGTTGTTGATAAACAGGGTCTTCACTTCTAAGTAAATAGTAGAACATTAAAGGGTTAGTTCACCCAAAAATGAAAATTAGCCCATGAATTACTCACCCTCAAGGCATCCTAGGTGTATATGACTTTGTTCTTTCGGACGAATCCAGTCGGAGTTATGTTAAAAATTGACTTTGATCTTCCAAGCTGTTTAATGGCAGTCGGCAGGTGTTGCAGTTCATCAGTCCAAAAGAAGTGAAATAAAGCACATCTATCCATAATAAAGTGCCTCACACGGCTCCGGGGGGGGTGAACAAAGGCCTCCTGTAGCGAATTGATGCGTTTTTGTAAGAAAAAAAAACATATTTAAAACATAATAATCAATTTAATCTAGCTCGTGCTCACTGTTGTACACGGAAGCAGCTCCGGGCGGATGACGTTGGACGTCGGCGTAACAAAGAACTGCACAGATACAGATATTATAACAATCTATCGATAAACACACTCCCTGTGTCCTCTGTTTCTGTTTGAGTACGCTCGCACTGCGGTCTGCGGATTGAAGAGTGCGCTGAAAGACGGGGAGGAGACGAAGTCTGCCGCCGTTTTCATATGAAATTTAAAGGGGACTGACTCTGAGGCCATCACGAATTTGCGTACAGTTTATGGAGCTAATCGCCCCGCTAAAAATGGCCTAGCGACGCCCATGATTCGTACGTCCATTTCGGAGAACCAGGACAAATATTTCAATCGATCGCTCGGGCATTTAAGTGGCACCGAAATCTGCGTTCTGATTCGGTTCTAGTACATACCGGTTACATAGGTACCGGTGCCATATTGGCATTTTGACATTGCTAAAGTAAGGAAACTTTGCTTCTTTTGCTCCTGTAAACAAACGTTGGTTTTCACGAGACTCACCGGCACATGTGCAACGCCGGCATCTTACATCATCCTCTCGGAGCTGCTTCAGTGTACAACTGTTGGCGCAAGCAAGATTAAAGTGATTATTACGTTTTGAATATGGATTTTTATCTTACTAATACGCATCGATTCACTAAAGGAGGCCTTTGTTCACCCCCCCGGAGCCGTGTGAGGCACTTTTTATTATAGATGGATGCACTTTATTTAACTTCTTCTGGACTGCAACACTGCAACACCGACTGCCTGCCATTAAACAGCTTGGAAGATCAATGTACATTTTTAAAGGGGTGGTTCACTGTTTTTTTTTCTAGGCTTGATTGGTGTTTATGGGGTGTAGTCTAAGATGTGTTAATGCTTGGCCCTCAGAAATAGGCGATGGGCTCTGATTGGTTAGCTAGCCCAGTGTGTTGCGATTGGCTAAACTGCCTCTAAACTTCCCGCCCCTCACCTCGGCGGCATATGCTCCAGTTGTATTGTAAACAACGGTGTCGTTAATATTGCTTATCAATTTGAGCCCGATTGAGAAGCAGAGGATTGATTTTGAAACTTGTGAATCCATTAGAATCGTTAGAAGACAGAATCGCGATTCATATATGAATAGATTTTTACCTGCACCTCTAGTTTTCTCTTTTCCCGAGGGCGGGGTTTATCTGGGTTTATTACGTCACGAACCCGGGAAGTAACTTCTTGTAGTTCCTACCAGCCGTTTTTGTAGGCATTTAACTGCCAGAATTTTAAAAGACTCCATTTGCATTGAACTTTCAGCGTCGCAACTTTGCAGATATTGTTTATGCTCAAACAGCAACATTACACACTAACTAACGTTAAAAAAGAGAAATCGCAATCAACCACACCTTTAATATAACTCAGATTGGATTCATCTGAAAGGAAGTCATATACGCCTAGGATAGCTTGAGGGTGAGCAAATAATGGGCTAATTTTCATTTTTGGGTGAACTATCCCTTTAAGACAACTTATTCTTTCCAACCCCAGGCAGTGAATAATTTTAGGAATGAAACTGGATATACCAAGAGGATTCGAAAAGCTGCAGCTGCTCATCAAGCAGCTGCACAAGGAGCCCAAACACAAGCTCCTGCCCAGCGGCCACCTATGAGGCTGGCAACCTCACGCCAGCAGGACCCTCTGATGGCCAATGTTCCAAGCTCAGCAGCTGATAGCACCCCTCCCCAAAGCACACTTGCTGCCCCTTTATCTCCTGTTAGCACTCATCAGCCCTCCAGCACCCCACCTTCTTCTAGCAGCTCCACTGTAAACAGCAGCAGTGCACCTGCAGCATCGAACTATAGCCCTGTGGTGAACTCTCCTCAGCACTCTACTAAGCAGGATGACCCTCCTTCATCTAAGTAAGTAATTTTCCAGCATTTCTAGAACTTAAGAGGATCCACTGGTTGTGTAAAACATTAGGTACTGGATTCAAATTTGTCTTATGAGATCATTGTTCCCACCCAGGGAACCAGAGGTCCCAGCATCTACTGTTGTGCCTTCATCAGACACTGCTGCCCCAACAACTTCCATTCCGAAGGTATTACTCTTTTTATAGTATTCTTTATATTTGTTAATTTAAGAGAATTACATAGATTAATAAAGCAATATCACATGGGCAAGAGTAGTTAAGATAAAATATGGATACTTCCATGAATAGAATTAAGTGGTTTCTTTTCTTTCCCCCTCCCTATTTGTTGTCTAGGGATACCATGTCCCAGTAATTGGGAAGCCAAATATGCCTCAGCATCACATGCATAGATCAGGTAAGATAATATCAGCACAATTTCAGGTGTTTTTTTCTGTAGACTTCTTAATATTTAAGGTTTTGTTTTTTGTTTTTTTAGGGCAGCCAAGGGCTAGTGGACCAAGGCCGTCTGGAAGCCGTCCTGCATGGGATCCGTAAGTATCCTGAAGTGTATTCTTAAAAGATTGAAGTTTCATCCAAAAGAGACAGATTCTTCACTCCTGTTTATTTACCCTATCAGGTCCTCAAGTAGAGGGAGAGCTCCTAGTGAGCGACCACCAAGAACACAGCCTCCCCCAGTACAAAACCTTCCTCCTGTAGTCCCTCCAGTGTATGTGCCTCCTGTTCTTTTTCCACCTCCACCACATCCTATGCCTCAGCCACCTGGTGGTGTTCCACAGCAGTATCCCATACAGTATCCTCCAGGACAACAGCCTCCCCCTCCCTACAACATTCCGCCACCTGTATTTCCACCTGTCCCACCAAATGTGACCGCTCCATGGGTGCCTCCTGGTGCACAGCCACCTATAGCCAACCCCATCTCTACTATGCCAGCAGCACCTTTTCTATCCAAGGAGGAGTTTTACCGTCAGCAGCGTAGACTGAAGGAAGAGTAAGTAGTTCAAACATATAATTAAAGGGTTACTCCACCCCAAAATGAACAGTTTTGTCATTAATCACTTACCCCCATGTCGTTCCAAACCTGTAAAAGCTTAGTCCGTCTTTGGAACACAATTTAAAGGGGGCATAACACACAGATTCACCCAATCTCATGTTAATCTTGAGTACCTATAGAGTAGTACTGCATCCTTCATATCTCCAAAAAGTCTTTAGTTTTATCATATTTATAAAAGAAATATACAGCTTTACGATTCTCTCCGTAAAAATACGAGCTCCTGGAGGCGTGCCGTGGGCGGAGCTAAAGAGTGACGAATACTTGAGCGCCGAATGCCAACAAAACAGACATTTGATGCCATTTCACTTACCGTCTGCAGTTCTGAATCATGACCGGGATCTTTTCTAGCTGGGACAGCTCCATCTTTCAGTATCAAAAGATGTGCAAATCCAGCGTCGAACTGGGCCTTGTTTATAAAATGTTCGTCAACAAACACCCTTGTGAAACTCTGTTGCTGCTCCGGAAAAACAAACTGCATCCACTGTTTACATAACGCTGGGTTCTTTAGGAAGCTGAACAAAGTTATCTTTACCTTACTACCAAAAACAGTCCCGTGCAGCGCTGCTGAATGAAGCACGTTGATGGGCGCGATCTTGCTCTCGCTCTGGTCGATGCGGGCGCGTTTTTCCGGGAGAAATGCCCATATAAGGAGTTCCACCCTCGTCTATGTCATGAAGAGCCACGATCGAAAAAAACTCTCCGAAACTTGTACAAACCCGGTAAGTAAGATTTTTGGCACAGAAATACTCCGTCATACGTCCAAATTGTACGTAAACTTTGTCCATGCTTAGCATGAGAATCCAACGCTTTAACAGTGTAAACAACTCTGAATGCATGAAACAGCATTGTACGCCCCCCCACCCTTTTAACATATTTTGGATGAAAACCGGGAGGCTTGTAATTAACACTGTCAAGGCCCAGAAAAGTATGGAAGACATCGTCAAAATAGTCCATCTGCCATCAGTGATTCAATCTGAATTTTATGAAGCGACGAGAACACTTTTTGTGCGCAAAGAAAACAAAATATAGACTTTATTCAACTTTTTCTTCTCCTCCGTGACACTTCCTGCAAGCACGTTCATGAGTTCACGAGCAGTGCCTTCCGGGTTCTCTGTCTGTACGCTGGCCTCTACGTTAGCAGGTCACGGCGCATGCGTTGTGCGTGGTCGGAGGCGTGTTTCGTCTGTCATTTTCATTTTGGGGTGGAGTAAAACTTTAAGAAAGATTTATTTAATTGTTAAAATGGTTAGTTTGCTCATTCCTCGTTATCATAGTGATTTTGATTGTAGCGTCATAATTTGTTTTTGACAGTTACTTTTGAATCATTGTATTTGTATGATTGTTCTTCCCCCCACTCATAATGTATAATGTATCATCATGTATGTATTAATGGATTACTAAATTTTAACTGCAAAGTTTTATTTTCTTCCTGTCTTTGATAAATAGTTCCCAATGTCGATTCGTTACCAGGGACAAGAAGTCCAAACTTGAGGAATTTACTAATGACTTTGCCAAAGAGCTTTTGGAGTACAGAAAGATCCAGAAGGAGAGAAGGCGATCCTACTCTAGGTTAGGAAAATTGACAGGTGTCCACCACCAAGATGTCATTTTTGTTGGAAAACTTTTGGAATCAACTAAATTCTCACTTACCTTTCTTCTGCAGGTCAAAATCTCCTTACAGGGATTCCTCCTACAGTGGCTCATCATATTCGTATTCCAAATCCCGCTCTCGGTCCAGATCACCACGCTCCTACTCTCGGTCAGTTTCCCGATCTCGGTCAAGATCCCGCTCACGCTCTCGTTCGCGATCACGCACCTACTCTCGCTCACCATACTCCCGCAGGGGCCGAGGTCGAAGCCGTAGCTATCGATCTAGGTCACGCACTCCAACATACCATCGCTCCCGCAGTAGATCACCATCATATAGAGGTCGGGAGATGAGTGGAATGGGAAGTGGGATCTATCGTTCCCGCTCTAGATCCCCACTATATAGGAATCACAGTCCCAGCAAGAAACTCCCACCCCCTTCTCAAATTGAGGGTGAGCGCAAATATGCAGGGAGGTACAGAGAGCTCCCTCCTTATGATCCTAAGGAATATTATGGCCGCAACATAGACCAAAGTGACCCCTATGAGAGAGAGCGATATCGAGAGTGGGAAAGAGAGTACAGGGAGTGGTACGATAAATACTTCAAGAGCTACAACAACCCACCAAGTAGTCAAATGCGAGGACGTGCTCCAGGCAGCAGGGAACCCTATACTCCTGAGCGTTTTGCTCCTCCCCGACCAAGAGAAAACTCCCCCTACAGCAGGGGTCGTCGGGAGGATTATCCACCACCACCTCAGAGCCACGGCGTCCCACCAAGAAGCAGAGGTTCCATGACATACCAAGAGAAGTGTGCTGAGAAGTATGGCCACCTTCATGTCAACACCACTGGAGCAGGAAGAGGACTTAACAAAGAGTTTTTGAAACCTCTTAAGGACCGAGAACCCGGTGGCAGCACTGCTGCAGACCCCAAGTCTATGAAGCATAAAAAACATCGCAAAAAGAAGAGAGAAGATAGTGACCTCTTCAGTCACTCTGACTCTATGGATGAATCCAGGAAAGATGATCGTAAAGAGGATTCCATGCTGATGAATTCAAGTCGTGATGATGCCACACCTGTCAGGGATGAGCCCATGGATAGCTCTACAGTGCCCTACAAGACTACTCCTGTAAAGGAGAAGAAAGAGAGGTCAAAAAGCAAAACTGACAAAGTTAAACGAAAGTCTGAAAACAGTGGGCAGAAGAAGGAAGCATCAGGGAAGATGTCAAAACCTGCTAGAGAGAAAGAATCTGATGCACCGCGAGAGAAAGTGGCTCCCACTGAACCAGCCATTAAGAGAGTCAAAGACGAACCATCCCACAAATCTGAACCAAGCAAACCTCAATCCTCAGAGTCCAAACTCATGCTCCCACGCAAGTTGATGCAGTCTAGGCCCATCAAACACCATCAGGAGGTAAAGCCCATCAAAGATGAGCTCAAAAGCAAGAAAGAATTGGTGAAAGATCCTGTAAAGCCAGATAAAATTCCTGTCAAAGATGGGAAGGTCCCCAAAAAAGAGCCAGAGAAGCCTGTGAAAACTGAGGAGAAGATGCCTGCTAAGACAGTTGATACTAAACAAGATAAGAAGAAACGGAAAGATGACAAGCCACCTGTGAAAGACCTAGATGTTCCTCCAGTAAAAGTAGCAAAAATAGAAGTTGGCGTGGCTAAAAGCTCTCCAAAACCTAAACCCAGACTGGAGAGCGAAAGGCCTGTTGAAAAGGAGAAAGTAGCTATTCCGTCTCTGATGGACATTAAGCCAGAGCCTGTAAGAAAGATTAAAATCAACAGGGAAATTGGCAAGAGAATTTCTAGCATTGATCGGCCACTTTCAGCTGAGGACTCTGCTCATGCCACAGGAAAGGGCAGACTGGACAAGTCTAGAGGAAAATTGAGGAGGAAGGTTCATGCTCCCGATGGGTCAGTGTCCATATTGGTTGATTACACCAGGTGAGACGATTTAAATATTAAAGTGCTTGGCAACTTGTTTTTTTCCTTTTAATCTGTACTATCAACTTGTTCATATTTGTTGTGTTTGGTAGCACCAGTTCTACAGGTGGAAGCCCCATCAAAAAGCATGAAGACAAGCTTGACCTAAAGAAGACTGTGGTGAAGACCCTGGAGGAATATACCAATGACAGCTCCTCCCCTGCTGAGGATGAAATTGTCATGATCCAGGTGCCCCGATCCAAGTGGGAAAAGGAAGACTATGAATCTGAGGATGATGAATCTAAGGTTGCCACCAGAACAGGCAGCATCAACACATCCAGCTCTGCTCCTTCAGGGGAGAACACTGCAGTGAAATCAGCTGGCAAGGAGTCTCCACATGCCGACAAAGCTCCGCCAGTCTCCAAAGAGGCAGACGTCAAACCTGCCAAGGACTCCACATCTGGCGATAAAGAGAAAGATACTGACAAGGAGAAAGACAGAGAGCAAGAACGAGACAGAGGGAAAGAAAAAGACCGCAGCAGCACTGCAGATCGTGAGGCAACTGATAAAAGGAAACCTAGTGTACCTAATCAGGAAAGAGAGCGTGCACAGGAGAAGGGCAGTGACCATGGCAGTGAACGAAGCTCTTCTTCCCAGTCCTCCAGAGATAGGCAAGCTGACAGGCCTGAACCTACCTCTAGAAAACCAGCAGGAAAGGAGACGACTCCAGGCGTCCCCAGTAGAAAAACAGAAAATAGAGATGATGCAAGAGACCACTTAGGCACTAGATCAAAAGATGAGAGAAATCCAATCAGGAGGAGAGTATCGCCCTCCCCGCCCCCAAGGGTAAAGGACTTACACACAGACTCTGGAAGAAAAACTCGTGAAGCACCTCAGGAGTCACAAAGTCCAAGTAGGAATAAGAGAGTATCATCGCAGAATGCCCCAGAGCCAAAACGAACAGGGCCAGAGGACCACAAAGGAGACTGGCCATGCAGTAAGGAGAGCCAGGGTTCTAGGCATTCTGATGTACGTAACGCAAAAGACCGGGAACACAGGACTCCTCATAGAGCTTTGACTCCAGAGCCTAGGACTGATGCAGAGAAAGGTGGCGCACATGGCGACCACATCAAAATCCCATCTGCACGCTCCACGAGACTGTCCTCAGATTTAGCACGGGAAACAGACGAGGCTGCGTTTGTCCCTGACTACAGCGAAAGCGACAGCGAGACCTCAGACATTGAGAGCAAAATGGAGCAGAGAGGACGAGAGAGGGACAGCAGTGGCAGCCAGAGTCCGAGCCCATCTGGCAGCCACGGACACAGCAGCAGCCCCAGCTCTCCCGGCAGTCAGGACAGCAAAAAGAAGAAAAAGGACAAAAAGGAGAAGAAGGAAAAGAAGAAACACAAGAAGCACAAAAAACACAAAAAGCATAAGAAACATACGAGCAATGAGTCTGAATCAGAGCTCAAAGGACAGAAACACAAACATAAGAAAAAGAAGTCTAAAAAGAGCAAGGACAAAGACAAAGATGACAAAGAAAAAGATGAGAGTGAGAGAGACGAACATAAGGCAAAAGTATCTGTTTAATTCATTTTAGGTTTAACCATTTGTTTGATTTACTCATCTTTAAGCAGCATTGAAAAATAAAAATATTGTTCTGCAGAGAAGTTTAAGTACAGTTCAGATTTCATTGTTTGCGATTTTCTCAATGGTTAAAGACATGCTTTTTTGACCACGCTAACCTCTCCCACCAATGTAAGAGAGTAGCTACTTTAATGATAAAGGTTATTTTATTTTGTTCTGAATTTTCATGAATGTTTTGGTTCTCATTTAAAATTGTTGCAGATTGTCATTACATCATGGTTTTGCATTAAGGCAATTGTAGAGGAAGCACTTTAGAAATGTGAACGTGATCGCAGATGTGCAAAATTTGCAAAGAGTTGCAAAAGCCCTTTTGTACCTCATCTCTTGTATGTTTAAGTTGGAGAGAAACATATCATTATGACAGTATGATAATATTGTTACAGAGGTAACGGGAGAGTGGCATCCAGCCATTGGGGCAAGCTGATTTACAGTGTATGTTTTTGCACTGTGAATATTTCCTCTACTCTTTCGTTTTATTCTAATTCACCTTCATAAGAGTAATTTAAATTATATGCTGAAATGGAATTGCATATGTTTTGAGGATAATAAATTTTTTTCAGGAAATATAAATGGTCTATCATGTTATTTTCATGCCTTGGTAATAAAGATTAGTTAGGAACCATAGATGACTCTTTCTAGTTGTCTTTTTAAATAAAAGTTCTTCATTGTGCATGTAATTCACCAGTACCAACTATTACATTTTTGGAAACGTTTAAGCTTAATATTTAATTGTCCGATATTTACTTGTAATTGGCTGAGATGCTCTTTTTCTCAGTGGTGCCACACCCATCTGATGCCCATATCCATTTAAAAACCTATTGAAGCAAATTTGATTATTCTTACATGTTTAAAATGAATGTTTGATTTAAATGTTTGTGGCTATACATTTGAAATACGTTTTATTGCCTAGGCCAGTTCCATTGTAAGTGCCTTACTGTCCATGGGCACATGGGCTTTTATTTTATATATATTTTAAAGAAGAATCTGGCATGAGTTTGAACAGTTTTTTGTGATAATAATTATGCGTTTGTTTAACTTATCACTTTCAAAATTTTAAATGGAAAACAGTTCAGAATTACACTCAAAAGAACCATCTTTTTCATGACTCCGGTGAGGTTTCCTCAGATGGAATCCTTTTTGTGGTTTTCCTTTCTGTATTGGAGGGAATTGCCATAAATCTCATATTTCCCAATGTCTAATCTTTTCTCTTACATTTTTCATTAATGTACATAAAGTGGTATTTGTAAATTGTAAATATATATTTTTTTATTACTATTAGTATTTCATAGTCCAAATTATTTAGCAATAACAATAATTTGTATTACAATGTAAATGTTGAATGTTGTGTATACTGATGTTTTAATTTGAATGTTGCGTCAAAGAGTGGCCTCAGGAAGGAGTAGAATACAATTCAAACTAGCACTACTGAAATATATGCTTTGGATGCCAGAGAGGGGAACAGTGTAATGGTGTCCTTTAAATTACAGAAACTACCTTAACCTACATGGATTTTAGTACATGCATGCACTTAAATTTTAGTCTTTCTCTTGATAAAAACGGACCAAAAAGCCTGATGACTACAAAGATTTTTGTCCAGTCAAAAGTTCTCTGCGATGATAACCTTTCTCCCTCTAATACCAACAACTGACTGTGACACAGTTATAGCCTACTAAGCAAAGACCACTTCCAACATTTGAAATAGAAACAGTAAAACAATTAAAAATATAAAATGTGAAATAAAAATACAATAAAATAATAAAAATATTAAACTATTGTTTAACCATTGCGAGCAGACAAAAGTTATTACTAAATTGTATAGATTCCTAACATTAAACAGACATTCCTCAACCTGATATTTATGCAAAATACCCTTTGAACTGAGAACACAGTGGTTGTGTTTCCTCTGTCAGCCACTTGAGGACGGCAGACATTTTATAACTAATTAAAAAAAAACAAAAAACTGCAGTAATCCTGACGGCTTGTAGTTCTCTGTGGAGATCATGCTGGAACCCTGCAGGAAAAAAAAAACAAAAAAAACAAACAAAGCCCACAGGACAGGGCAGGATTCCTGTAGTCTAGGGTTGTATTTAGGATTATTGCAGGATTCAATATAGGCCTAGGCCTGCCTGAAAATGTAGGAATGTAAAATGTAGTTTGTGTAAGGCTTGTCTATAAAAGTCCGTTCCCGCCGGATTAATAATTTTCAACCCATATAATGAATACATTTAAGAATGAAACCGATACCTCATCGTTCCTCCTCGGCGCAGAAGAGCGGCTCACTACGTTTTTATGCTATAGGCCTAACCACAAGAGGGCATACAAGGTTATTCACCCCGGAAAAAGGTGGCCACCCCACTGAAGCAGCATCTTGTTGAGAAAAAGTTCAGAGCACAGAGTCAAGTATTCAAGGTTTGGTAACATTCTCATCCTAAAATGCACATTTTAATCATATCTGCCCTTCTCATTACACTCTAAAAAATGCTGGGTTGTTTAGTGACCATGGCAGTGAACGAAGCTCTTCTTCCCAGTCCTCCAGAGATAGGCAAGCTGACAGGTCTGAACCAACCTCTAGAAAACCAGCAGGAAGGGAGACAAATACAGGTGTCACCAGTAGGAAGGCAGAGCATAGAGATGATGCAAGAGACCACTCAGGCACAAGATCAAAAGATGAGAGAAATCCAATCAGGAGGAGAGTATCACCCTCCCCACCCACAAGGGTAAAAGACTTGCACACAGACTCTGGAAGAAAAACTCTTGAAGCACCTCAGGAGTCCCAAAGTCCAAGTAGGAATAAGAGAGCATCATCGCAGAATGCCCCAGAGCCAAAACGAACAGGGCCAGAGGACCACAAAGGAGACTGGCCATGCAGTAAGGAGAGCCAGGGTTCTAGGCATTCTGATGTACGTAACGCAAAAGACCGGGAACACAGGACTCCTCATAGAGCTTTGACTCCAGAGCCTAGGACTGATGCAGAGAAAGGTGGCGCACATGGCGACCACATCAAAATTCCATCTGCACGCTCCACAAGACTGTCCTCAGATTTAGCACGGGAAACAGACGAGGCTGCGTTTGTCCCTGACTACAGCGAAAGCGACAGCGAGACCTCAGACATTGAGAGCAAAATGGAGCAGAGAGGACGAGAGAGGGACAGCAGTGGCAGCCAGAGTCCGAGCCCATCTGGCAGCCACGGACACAGCAGCAGCCCCAGCTCTCCCGGCAGTCAGGACAGCAAAAAGAAGAAAAAGGACAAAAAGGAGAAGAAGGAAAAGAAGAAACACAAGAAGCACAAAAAACACAAAAAGCATAAGAAACATACGAGCAATGAGTCTGAATCAGAGCTCAAAGGACAGAAACACAAACATAAGAAAAAGAAGTCTAAAAAGAGCAAGGACAAAGACAAAGATGACAAAGAAAAAGATGAGAGTGAGAGAGACGAACATAAGGCAAAAGTATCTGTTTAATTCATTTTAGGTTTAACCATTTGTTTGATTTACTCATCTTTAAGCAGCATTGAAAAATAAAAATATTGTTCTGCAGAGAAGTTTAAGTACAGTTCAGATTTCATTGTTTGCGATTTTCTCAATGGTTAAAGACATGCTTTTTTGACCACGCTAACCTCTCCCACCAATGTAAGAGAGTAGCTACTTTAATGATAAAGGTTATTTTATGTTGTTCTGAATTTTCATGAATGTTTTGGTTCTCATTTAAAATTGTTGCAGATTGTCATTACATCATGGTTTTGCATTAAGGCAATTGTAGAGGAAGCACTTTAGAAATGTGAACGTGATCGCAGATGTGCAAAATTTGCAAAGAGTTGCAAAAGCCCTTTTGTACCTCATCTCTTGTATGTTTAAGTTGGAGAGAAACATATCATTATGACAGTATGATAATATTGTTACAGAGGTAACGGGAGAGTGGCATCCAGCCATTGGGGCAAGCTGATTTACAGTGTATGTTTTTGCACTGTGAATATTTCCTCTACTCTTTCGTTTTATTCTAATTCACCTTCATAAGAGTAATTTAAATTATATGCTGAAATGGAATTGCATATGTTTTGAGGATAATAAATTTTTTTCAGGAAATATAAATGGTCTATCATGTTATTTTCATGCCTTGGTAATAAAGATTAGTTAGGAACCATAGATGACTCTTTCTAGTTGTCTTTTTAAATAAAAGTTCTTCATTGTGCATGTAATTCACCAGTACCAACTATTACATTTTTGGAAGTGTTTAGGTTTAATATTTAATTGTCCTATATGTACTTGTAATTGGTTAGGTGCTCTTTTTTTCAGTGGTGCTACACCCATCTGATGCCATGTCCTCTTTTGAATCCTACCTGATAGAAGCAAATTTGATTATTCTTACAAATTTAAAAGGACGTTTGAAATGTTTGTGGCCTTTAAAACTCTTTCTACTGCCAAGGCCAATTAACTTTCATTGTAAGTGCCTTACTGTACTGTACCTAAACTTTTATTTCTATTTTAAGGAAGAATATGGCATGAGTTGGATTAGGTTTTTTTTTTGTTTTGTTTTTTTATCGTAATTACACTATCTTACCACTTTAAAAATTTGAAACCGGGAAAACAGTTAGCTACACTCAAAAGAATCACATCTTTTTCGCAACTTCTGTGACGCTTCTTCAGATAGAATCGTTTATGTGGTTTTCCTTTCTGTATTAGATGGAATTGCCATGTATCTCATATTTCCCAATGTCTAATTAATCTCTTCCCTTACATTTTTGATTAGTAATGTACATAAAAAGTGGTATTTCGATTTAATGAGTTTGGAAGTGTTGTAAATTGTTGTATATTTATATTACTGTTAGTATTTCATAATCCAAATTATTTACTGAAATCATTTGTATTAAAATGTAAAGGTTGAATGTTGTGTATACTGATGTTCTTATTTGACTGTTGAGTGGCCTCAGGAAAGAGTAGAATACAATGCAAACTAGCACTACTGAAATAGATGCCTTGGATGCCAGAGAGGGTCACAGTGTAATGGTGTCCTTTGAACTACAGAAACTACCTTAACCTACATTGATTTTAGTAGATACACGGATTTGGTCTTTCTCTTTTGATAAAAACGAACTAAAAGTGGTAATGACTAAAAATATTTTTGTCCAATCAAACGTTCTCTGGATTGAAAACATTTCTCCGTTTAATACCTGTGGTGAAATGTGAATAGTTTATTGTGATAGGCTGTTCTGGGTCGGGGTCCAGGGTTGCTAGGCAGCGGAGGCGGGGCCAGTATGTGCAGCCTGCTGATTGAGATATAGCTAGAATGTTCTATGAGCGTACGTGTTAATAAAGTTAAGACTGAGTTCACCGAGTAGTCTGCTCCGTGTATCATGACAATACCAATAACATAGTGGTTGCGTTTCCTCTGTCAACCACTTGAGGACGTCAGATATAGTTATATTCATTACAAAAAAATAAAAAAACGACATGCAATAATCCTAGTTTTGTGCGGGAATCAAGCTGGAACCCTAGAGGAAAAATAAACAGAAACAAACAAAAAGCCTACAGGACACGGCACAGTCCTACAGGACTCCTGTA